ACGTAATTCCATTTTTTTTTCACTACTTCCACTTTGGCTACTTCCGCTTTGGCTAAATGTAATTCCGTTTTTTCACTACTTCCGCTAATGCTGCTTCCGCTTGGGCTACTTCTACTTTTGCTAAATGTAATTCCGTTTTATCAAATCTAATTCCATTTTTTTCACTACTTCCGCTTTGGACACTTCCGCTTTGGCTTAATGTAATTCAGTATTTCTTCACTACGTCCACTTTGGCTACTTCTGCTTTGACTTAATGTAATTCAAATGGTTTTCAATACTTCTGCTTTGGCTACTTCCACTTTAGCTTAATGTAATTTGTTTTTTTCACTACTTCTGCTATGGCTGCTTCCATTTTGATTTAATGTAATTCAGTTTTTTTCAAATGTTGTTGTGTTTTTGTTGTGTTTTTTCAAATGTTGTTCATTTATACCTCAGGGCCACCGTAGAATCCCCAACTCTTTTGAGAACACCTCTACTGCGTCTAATTCCCTCTGTCTCTGCATTTCTTTCACACCTTTTCACATGACTCTTGTAAATGAGTCCTCGAGGCTCAGTGGGAACTAAACTGTATAGATAAAGGTTGAATGAATGAATGTGCACTGTGTTTATAATTTTAGTGCTTAATGTTGATGTCAGGGCTTTCAGCTCAACATTACCTCTATCCTCTGGTACTACGGAGACTAGGCTGTATTATAAAGTTACTTGTTATATGGTACTTACAGGGTACACACCTGTTATGTAATGATATCAACACGCATTATCGTACCAAAGATAATATGTACAATACTACTGTTTTGACAGAACAGTAATGATATTACAAAACAAAGAGCCTCATCTAATACACAATTATTTACCTTGATAAAGTCACATTGACCATTCCTGTCGGATAAATCTCCAGAGACTTCCCCCAGAATTTATTCTTCCATCGTTGGTCTGTTAAGAGATATCATTATACGCTGATGATGTTGGACATTATCTACAAGTCCAGGAATAGCATTTTAAAATAGAGATGCACCAATTCTGGTTTTGTGGGCCGATACTGTCTGATACTCGATTTTAAAATAACTCTGACTTGTCGATAACAATTTTTTATACGATTTTCTTTCCATAAATTAACTCAAACTCATGCAAGGTTTTTTTTCCTTTCAATTTTTGTATTAAAAATCAGCTGTAATTTATATTACCATAAAAAAAACTTTGGTCTACCTAGGTTATTTTTGAACTGCAGTAGGTTACAGGCTTTATATCTCTTCAAAATAATAATAACAATAATATTAATAATAACAATTATGTTGCTAAGATAAAATAAAACAAAATAAATAGGGTAACAATAAAATAGGGTAAACATAAAATAAATAGGGTTTCAGGATCTGCACAAAAGTAGTGGTTTAGAATGCAACAGAAAATGAAGAAAATAAAACAATATCAGCTTTTGTGCACCAAAGCACAAGTCTTTAAAGACAAAGTTTGAAGGTAAGATACTGATAACTCCACAGAACACCACTTCAAAAACATGACATTTCTTTGCAAACCTTTGTCTTATTTTTACTTAAAACATAAAAGCACCTAAGATCATGACAAACTCAAAATGTACTAAAGGCATTTAACTTCATGTGTTCAATTTAAACTTTGTAAATAAAAATAAGTGCACCACATGAAATTATAACTCCACAGAACGCCACTTCAAAAACCACAAACCATTCCGTTTAACCCTTATCTTTTCATTGAGCTTTAGCTGCTCAGCTTAGTTTTATGTTCTTGCAGGTGACACAGTTTTAAATGTCGGATTAAACTTTGCAAATGTTTGGGTTGTGGCGTCTCCACAATTTATTTCTTCTATGCACAAATTACAAATGTCTATGTTTTGCTTTTCTTTACTCACGGTAAAAAAAAAAAAAAAAAAAACATACACACCAAAGACATATTTGATGGTGCATTCATGAACCTTAAAATTTAGGATTTCTCGTAACTAACCGTTTAAAAAGGAAATAAATGATTGTTGGGTTTTTTTTCGGATTTGTTTGGACAGTCACCGATTTGAGCCGATCAATGTGAAAATCGTCCGGTATCGATTTCAGGCAGATTGTTCGGTGCATCTCTGTTTTAAAAGTATTTCATAGCCAGATATGAATAGATGATATAATCAAGAACAAAAAGAAATTTTAGTGAGATAGCACAAGTCCCACCTTGCCAAAATGAGAAGTTTTCTGACTCGGTGTGGCAGGCTGAGATGGGCGGGTGATGGCAGACCTGAGAACATTTGAGAAATTCGTTTAAAAAAAATAAAAATGACTGCTTTAATTTTTTATTTTTTTTTTCAAAACTACAACTGTAGGTGTTTCGTATTAGATAAGATACAAACCAAGAAATTACTAAATTACTTGAATGACTAGGAGGGAAGATGCAGCACAGAAATATTTTATAATATAATAATCAAAACATCATAAAAGGTCTTAATGAGGAGCTCTAACTTTGTCGTTTAAGAAGTAAATTGCTTTGTTGAGGAATGTTTAGTTAGTTGCATTTATTTACAACTATCTGAAAATTATGACTATAACATTTCTTGAGAGACTATGATTTTATTGAATCCCTAAATCACCCAATGTTAACGTGTAAATCAAGTGAGCTATCGTAATTTACCGAGCGAAGATGATAAGCTCATCTAGTCTTACCAATAAAAACCTAAGTTTTATTATAATTAATCTCCCCATGCTACCATTACCTACATGAAACAAAGAGACAAGAGCTAGAGAACTGAAATTTACTGAAGAGGTAAAAAATGAGTTGTTACAGATGAAAGAAACTAAATAAAAAACAAAAAAATAGAAAAAGCCAATAACAAAGCAAGAGCTAAAAATACCAAAATAAATAGCATAAAGTATGCAGAAATAAATTGTGTGAATTTAAAAAAAGAAATAAAGCAGGAAAACTTTGGTGCGAATGCTGATTCAGCGTTAATAAAATACCTGCTCACTGATGAAGCGGAAACCCCGATCCTCTCGGATGCACTCGAAGGTCTCCCCCAGCACCGGGTTAAAGGGCTTGTAGCGGTTTCTGAAGGTTGCAGTGCTATAACCAGAAATGGCAAAGGCAGCAATGTAAACCTGGATGAGACGAAATACAAAAAATATACAAGTCTTTTTGAGTTTTTTAATATAAATATGAATATTTGTTAATTTAGTTTATGCAACCAGAAACAGAAAATGATTTTCTTTGATGCTGTATGAAATATGATCACTGGGCACATGAATATGTTACTGTAGTGTTCTACGTCCCTCAGAGAAGGTCCACATCCTGTCCTCAGAGACACTGGAACTAAACTCTTCCTCCCCCTCTTTGCTCATCCCTTTCCTGAGCAAAGCCAGACAAAATGACTCCTTACAGGATCTACTTCCTGCAAAGTTTATCAACTCCCTTTCCTGAAAAGTCAGACAGGGCGACATGTCATTAATCTGCATGCAACAGAGGACAGAACTTTGTCATACCCCAGGACAAGAGGCATGTGATCGCCATGGCAACGAAGGAAGTTTGCCAGTTGGACAGAGTTTCAAACAGAACCCCTGTTGTGTACCAGTATTGTGTGAAAAACCCAAATGTACATCTGTGAAGAAAATGATGTTTTTAAGCAAGGTGTTACTGGGTAAACAGGTGTTACTGGGTAAACAGGTGTTACTGGGTAAACAAACAATGTTTTCCCTCTAAACTTTGAGAGGAGGTGAGTTATCTCATCAAAATTAATTTATGCAACTCAGTTAACGCCCATTTTGTTGGTCAGAATTGCGGTGATTGGATACAATTTGCATAGCCCCCCCCCCTTCTAGAATCAGGTAAAACTGAAACTCAGGGGAGGAGAACGTTCAAGTCGCTGTCTTCTTCGTGGCTTTTCTAGCTGTGGTGAGCCAGGCTCCCTCCATCCTCCATCTTGGATGGAGTCAGCCGGCTGAAATGTGGCGAAAGTCCACAGAACTCTCTCAAACACCCCGGAACGATGGCGCTGTCGTTCTGAATGAATCGTAGTTCTGGAGAGAGCTTACAACTTCCTGGGACGACAAACACCGGCTCCTTTCCATCGTATCCATCGTGGTCATGATGAGAATGTCTTCTGGTAGGACAAGCCATCTTCCTCCTGATGAAGGTCAACTTTAGACTCAGTGCCAGTCGGTTCTTTTTAGACACTTAGAGTTTACTTCACGAACCTCAGAAACTTTAATTTTTAAACATTATAACATCTCTCCTCAAAGTTTAAACTATTTTACATCATCCACCTCTGAAATAATACTATTGGTTATTCATTCTTATTTCACACTTGCCATAATTTCATATTGTTGTTATTCAAACTTACAAGAAACGTTACAGAATCGTGACTAACCAACTGGGTTTTTGTGTTTAATTCAAGTGAGGGGATCACAACATTGCCAAGAATCCACCACTATTTTAATCGAGGTCATCCGCATTTATTATTATAACTGCACACCTGTTAAAAGGTGTGCACACCTGTTTACTCTTGCCATATCACTACATTACCGTAGGCGGTCTTACCATCCTCTGGAATGGGTCTGGGGTGTTATTCGCCGTGTCCAGCAGCTCGCTGTACTCCAACTCTTCACACAACCTCTGCAGAAGGCTGACGGGCTCGTTCAGAGCAGCTGGCATGGAGACTCGAGCTAAATCTTTACCTGGGGGAGAAAAAGCACAGGCATTTCAAACAAACAGCCAATTTACAAGTTTGGTTTTAAATATTTAGTAGTGAGAGGTTCTTGCCTATGTTGTTGTAGAGGATGGCCACGAGGCCTACGTGGCTGTTGTCAGGACAATGAGCAGGTAACGTGGTTCGGCGTCCAGTGCTCTTAAGCACAACATTGTTAGGACTCCTGGAAATACTTGCATGGTACTTTCTGGTGGTTGATGCTGTAGATTTAGTAACAACAGTAATAAAAACCGTTAACAACAGCACCTCCAAACATGAGGCCCTCAGCTGGAAAAGGGTTGGCCTCTCTGGGTTGAGGATGAGGTTCTGCCTCGTGTCGATGAGTTTAGTTATCTCAGGGTTTTGGTCATGAGTCAGGGCGGAAATGGAGCGTGTGATCAACAGAAGGATCGGTGCAGCTTCCACAGTACTGCAGACTCTGTGCCGGTCCATTTTGGTGAAGAGAGAGCTATGCTGCAAGGTGAAGCTCCTTTAAGTCTACGTCCCTACCCTACCTGTGGTAAGGATGCTCCCTGGACGCCTCCCTACAGTCTCTGTCCTCCCAGAAGAGCTGGAAGAGGTGGCTCATTTGAATTTGGTTTATGGATTTGTAATCGGGAGTGTTGACAAAAACATCTAACTGGGTTAAGTTTCCAGATGTTGAGCTAAAACGTGACCTTGTAGGAATTGAGGGTCATTCACAACACACACTCTGAGCTCTAACATCTTGGGATGTATACAAAAGTCTAATTTATTTTCTGTTTTGAAACTAAAGGGTCAACTTGTCAGAGAAAATGAATAAATTAAAATGGCACGTTCTGCAGGGACAGAGCGAAGCTGCAGGTTTACGTTCACTCACCGTGTCCCTCCTCCGGCTCAGAGTTTGTGGTGCTCCCATCACTGAGTCCAGATTCATCAGACACCTCAGAGGAACTGCCCCACAGGATGTTGTCACTGGCATCAAAATATTCTGCAGCCGAGTCGGCTACTGAAGGCGGCCCGAGTGACGACGCAGGCTGATGGAGAGAAAGATGGAGGAACATCAAGACAATGTCAGAAAATAAAAAAACATGCCAAGCGTCGTCGTCTTACCCGATCTAACGAGTGAGGCTGGTGAAGGTCGTTGGCTTGCCAGGCTTCCTGCAGCTTCTGCCTCTCCAGGGACAGAGTTTCATGCACCGACTTAAGAGAAGCCAGAACTGGAACGGATGTAAAACAGAGGAACAACAAGTTTTTCCTGTTTAGTTTTGATCTGTTGTGCTGTTCTAATTATTCATGTATCAACCCGTTCAGAGAGGCAGGGGCACCATAGATCCACCCAGAAAGGCCCCGGACCGGGATTTGAACCAGAGGCAGCAGCTCTACCAACTGCTCCACCGTGCTTCCTCTTTTTAGAATATTAATGTTTACACTCTTTTAAATTAAACTGTAAGTATTAATGTTTCATTTTTTAAGTATTTGTTACTCTTTAGTACTGTATGCAACTTTTTGTGTTTAATAAATAAATTTAAATGTACAAACCTCTTGTTATATTGAATATTAGCACATTTATAAGGTATTTAATAAAGGCTTATATTTATAATATATAATAATTTCATTAAAAGTACTAAGCAAAGACATTTTAAATACACTTAAAATAAAATCTAAATGTATTATTCAAGCATAAAACAAGTGTGTATTGAAATACATTAAAAGTATAATAAGTACACTTTAAGTTGAACCACTTTAGCACATTAAAGTAGATTGAATACACTTTACATATATTTAAATCAACTAAAATGTATTAAGTACAAAATAAGTTGTTTCAAAATAGCACACTTACGTACAATGTATTTTTCTACAATTTCAAAAATAAATTTGATATATTAAATTTCAGTATACTTAAGTATATTTAATTTTCACCTGGGAAAAGACCATTAACATTCTCACTTAAGGACAATTTAGAGTTACCAATCAGTCTAACATGCATGTTTTTGGTCTGTGGGAGGAAACCGGAGTACCTGGAGAAAACCCACGCATGCACGGACAGAACATGCACACTGCACATGCAGGATGATTCTTTGACCTTCTCATTGGGAGGCTACAGCTCTAACCACTGCACTGCCATTTAAAATATTTAACCATTTAAAATTAAAATTAAATGCCAACATAAACAAATTTAAATTTATTCTGCTAAAATATGTGCAGTTTTTTAATTTATTTTGTCTTCTTATGCTGCAATGAACCTTTAGCTACTATTTTACTACAATTAGCTTCTAGCTACACTTTTTTTTTTTTGCTACATTTGGCTTTTAGCTACTATTCTGCTTCTTTTAGCCTTTAAATACAGTTTTTAGCTACTGCTTATTTTGTCTTTAGCATCTATTTTGCTATTTATAATAACATTTAAGGTTATTTTAGTGTTAACATCTGTACTACTTTGAACTTTTTCTGCTCATTTTAACTTTAGCATCTTTTTGGTAACTTTGGCTTATGTTTTGCACAATTTATTTTTATGGGTTCATTTGTTAATTTTAGCTATATTGTGTTAATTTCAGCTACTGATCTGCTGCTTTTAGCTACTGTTCTGATGTTTCTATATTCTAGCGTTGTTGTGCACTTTTTAGCTTTTAGCTTGTGTTTTGTTCATTTTAGCTTCTGTTCTGTTTGTTTCTAACTTTAACAGCTCAAATGTAGCTTTTGCAGCCAATTTTAATGTTCAAACTGCATTTTCACACAAAAAAAGCAGTTTCTTCACTTTGTGTATGCGCATTGTTCAATATTAACATATTTATCAAGTTTTCCCAGATATTTCACGCAGCACGGTGGAGCTGCTGGTAGAACTTGCCTCTCAGCAAGCAGGTCGCCCCAGTTCAAAACCCGGCTGGGGGTCTTTCTGGGTGGAGTTTGCATGTTCTTGACGTGCATGTTTTCTCCATGTACTCCAGTTTCCTCCCACAGACCAAAAACATGCATGTTAGGCTGATTGGTAACTCTAAATTGTCCCTAGGTGAGTGGTTGTTTGTCTCGTTTGCCTCTATGTGTCCCTGTGATGGACTGGAGACCTGTCCAGGGTGTCCCCTGTCTCTTGCATATGATTGCTGGATATGGACACCAATGACCCCCGAGAGATGGATGGAAGTTTTCCCAGATATTTCCACAAACTTCAAGAGTTTATTTTAAAAATATCTTTCAGTGTGTTTGTCTAGCTGACCCCGCAGTGACACGGCGCAGATGTCCTGCTGGATTTTCTTGCCCTCGGGTGATGAGACGGTGTGGGGGGACAGCTGAGAGCAGACGTAGTCGGGGATCGAGGGCACTGATGCACCGAGGTGGGACGAGCTGCTCAGGTGACTGGAGGACAGCTGTGAGGTGAACAGGACAAAGGATTTACTGGTTAGTTTAACAGGTCCCCTGTTAGCTGTCACTTTCGGAGCTGGTGTCACTGGTTTGATAAGAAAGCATCAGCTTGGCTTCACGTGACGCTGACAGGAACTTCAGCTACATCTACATGCACACTACGCTTCATCTCACACAGCCATTTTTAGTCAAGATGGTGTTCTGCACCGAGGTATAGATCAAGCTGTTTGATGTCACAACTCACCGATTTGGAAATCCCACGAATAGGCTTTGGATTAGATAAAAGAAAAGCCCAAAATGTTATTTGGTTTTTGGGATGTCATCTTTTTAGACATTCAAAACAAACATAAAACTTTAAATGTAAAATGAATCTAAAGCTAAGTAGTCCTTTAGCTTTAGAGTAATTCCATATATGCACTTAGTCCATTAAATTCATCTTAAACCTAAAAATGCTAATGATTTTATCGACTCTTACCATGCCCAGGGCCTCCACTCTGGACAGTGTGCGGGAATGACCCCGTATTTTTCCCGACTTTGTCTTCTTTGGTTTCTCGAGTGAGAGATTCTGCTCCAAAAAAAGGTTTACTTAATTTTCCATTCATTTGAAACTTAATTTCTGCAGGCGCATGAAAAATGTTGGAAGTCTGTGCGCACCTGTATGCTGATGATACGCTGCAGATCGCCATTAGTGAAAGCCTGACACGTCTCCAGCGTCTGGAGCTGCTGAATTAAACGGTTCAGCTCGGAAAGGTCCAGATTACAACGGTTCAGCTCTGAAAACCAAACCAGTTTTATTTATAAAGCAAATTCAGAACAGTCATAGATGACAAATGTTGCAATCCACACTAAAAAAATAGCCAAAATAACATTATCGATAAAAACAAACTTTGAAATAAAGTAAAAGCCATAAGAATAAACAATAATAAATGTGCTGTTCCGGGCTGCTGCTAAAAAGCACGTTCTCCCTTATTAACCCTTACGTCAACGTTTTAGTCAAATGTAGGGTGAAAATGACAGATGTGAGTCTTCAGAAATTAAGGTAAAATAAATCTGTGTATCATCTGCATAGCAATGAAATCCAAGGATATTATGTCCAGTGTTAAAAACAAATGGCTCCAAGATTAATCCTTGAGGGACTCCACAATTGATGGGAGGGCTGTAGAAGAGGAGAAAATTCTCATAAGATCTGACAGACAAATACCCTGAACGCAGGTATCTGGATCGTGGCTTTGCCTCAGCCATGCCGACACCTTGGTGTTCACAGCGGTATTGGCTGAAGGCAGAACCCCTGACCCGCCGGCTGAATCTTCCATCCCTGCAGAGCTCCGCTAACATAACAGAGGCAAAAAGACACAGACGCTACCGTAAGACTCACTTTGGATCATCTGTTGAGAAAGTTATGTTTGATTTTATTTTATTCTCACCAAATCTCCATTTCTCAGAGCCTGACCGGCTGAAGCTGAGTGGGACAGCGTCTGCAGGATGCTGCTGTGGGCGAACGCTGTCTCGTTCTTTTTGTACCGGCGGTGCGCTTTCAGCTTGGTCACCCAAATGTAGAAGAGTTCATGGCTCTTTGCCTTGGTGGAAAAATATGTGTCTTTTAAATTCTAATACATCTATTAGGTAAAAACCGCTCAGCGGGAGTTAAACCTTTACCTTCATGTGGTAGAGGATGTCTCCTGCGTCCAAGTCAATCCGATTGGACTTCTTGTTAATTGACATCACAGCAAGGCTGACGTCTAACGAACCCTGGACTCGTCCCCTGGATACCTTTTGTAAAACAAGCAGGTTTAAAAGTTGTCAAAACTTGTTATTAAATACAACCATTTATAATAGTAACTTAAATTATGTCATAAATAAATGACACTACCAGACCAAAAAAAAAAAAAAAGACTGATGCAATTTATTTAAAAAGCTTGTTCAAAGTAAAACTCAATTGAAAAGACAGTAGATAAAACCCCAAGTTAACTAAAACATAGCTAAAAGTGTAACAATTAGCAAATTCATAGGTAAAATTTAAAATTTTCAAAAGATTAGATAAAAACTAAAAATAGTAGTTAAAGGTTAAAATTATGAAAACTGTAATTAATACAAAAATTAGCACACTGTGACTAAAAGTAAATATTTACAAAACTGTAGCTAAATGCTAATATTAACAAAACCATAGCTACTATAAACATTTAAAAGACCTCAGCTCAAGGCTATAATCATTCACACAATATTAGATTTGACAAATTGTATTCACGCGTAAGCTGCTTCCACATTTTATCTTTAGAAAATGTTGCAGCCAGGAGATTTTCTTTTAAATATTTATTTTGAATTTTTTGTCTCAACGTGAAATTAAACGACCGTATTTTCTGGCGTATAAGTCAATTTTTAGTCCTGTGACTTATAAGCCGAAGCGACTTATATACATATTTATAACGCAATTTTTGACTGACGCTTTAAATTTCTAAGAACTGCAACAGCGAGTCCTCCCGTGCGCGCTCGCTTCACTCAGCTGGTGCAGGCGGAGGAACGCTGGAGAGCTAGCGGCTCCAGTCGCAATGGATGGATGGATGGTTGGATGGATATGGATGGATGGATGGATGGATGGATGAATAGATGGATGGCGCTGCGCCCCTTAGGCGAAAATTGAGTTGTTTTGACCATTAAATAACAGCATAATAAATGTGACTTATACGCCGAAGCGACTTATATATGTTTTTTTTCTTCATGATGCGTTTTTTGACTGATGCGACTTATACTCCGGCAAATACGGTAAATCAATAATGTGCAGAAAAGTGAGTAATTTGTCGTGCACAGAAGAAAAACTAATTTAATGCAAAATTTTTAATATTTATTGTATAAAAATCTAAAACATATTTTTTGTTGATAGTATTATGAAATTTGATGTTTATTATTATAAAGACTAAATTTTCACTTACATCTTGTTGATTTTTGGAGTAACGTAAGATTCCTGCTTCCAGCACGAAGTATCGCTGAAATGTGACAAAAGAATAACGTTAAAATAATGATTATGGCTCCATTTTCCACGATGTGCTGACTTCTCACCTTGTGCCAGCCTTTGAGAGGCCACTTTCTTCTCTTGAGAAGATACCCTTCACAGATTCCTGGAGTGGTCAGAACTTCAGGATTTTCACTTCCTGTTCGCATTTCTACTTGAAGGTCGTCGATCACTTCCCAATCTTTGATGATCTGTGGAAATTGGCAGCCAGAAACTCACTTGAAGGTGATTTTATCATTTAAGTTTTTCCATGAAAAAGATTAAATTAAAATGTTGGTGCCTTTAAACATCACCCTGTTAAAACATTCTGCCTCCGGTCGCTATAATTTGAGTTTAGTCCAGATTAAAACTATAATGCAAGTAGCAAGTCCTTTAATTCCTTTTGTTGAACAAAACATAAGGACCAGACTGATTATTAACCAACTTGTTAATGACCCCGTTACTGACCTTTAACTGACCTGTTACTGACCCGTTATTGACCTGTAACTGACCTGTAACTGATCTGTTACTGACATGTTACTGACCTGTACTGACCTGTTACTAACCTGTTACTGACATGTTACTGACATGTTACTGATATGTTATTGACCTGTTACTTACCTGTTACTGACCTGTTACTAACCTGTTACTGACATGTAACTGACATGTTACTGACATGTTACTGACCTGTTACTGACCTGTTACTAACCTGTTACTGACATGTTACTGACATGTTACTGACCTGTTACTTACCTGTTACTGACCTGTTACTAACCTGTTACTGACATGTTACTGACATGTTACTGACCTGTTACTGACCTGTTGCTGACCTGTAACTGACCTGTTGCTGACCTGTAACTGACCTGTAACTGACCTGTTACTGAGCTGTTACTGACCTGTTACTGACCAGTAACTGACCTGTTACTGACCTGTAACTGACCTGTTAATGACCTGTAACTGACCTGTTAATGACCTGTAACTGACCTGTTACTGACCTGTAACTGACCTGTTAATGACCTGTTACTGA